TTATTTCGATATGATAAAATATGAGGATGATGGTACCATCTATTCATACTCAATAACCTTTTTCTTCTTTCTTTTATACCCATTTTTGACTCGAAAAATGTGTTGCTTACATCAGTAAGTGTTGATTCACTTCATGCGAAGAAAAGAAAGAGTTATTATTATTATCATGCTTACTCTCCATAACAATCTGTTTAATTGAGTTCAGCACTAGTTATGTATGTGAAGTTATGATGTATGGAAGATCAGTGTGTGATTAATACAGAATTAATAACATTTGAGGTGGCTAGAATGGGTTTGAATGTTCACACCGTTATAGATGTTATATTATCAGTGCCTGAAAGGTTAATTTACTGACTGGATGTATGTTAGGAAGAATTGGATTATTACAACTATAGCATAGATGAACTAGCAAAGCATAATCCTCAAGACGCTATTAAGCAACGGGATCTAACCTTTGAAACACATCTTTGGAGTACTAAAAGGTACTACTTAAGTGAAATGCAGCTATAAACCCCTGAACTTGATTTTAAACTTTGCAAAATAATCCTCAAAACAATTAAACGCAATGTCCAAGCCAAAACCTTAATAATATGATAATAATAATGTGTAAAATCAGACCCTTCAGATCTACAGTTAATAGTGGGATCCGAACCACTTGCAAGCTTTGCACATTGCAAAGACACGAGTACGTCTTTAGACCTGATTAACACTACAATGGACACAGTCACAGTTCGTGTGCGCATTATGCTGTACTGAAATCGTCCATCTGCTAGTATATCCTTGTATACCCACCAAAGGAGGCATATTCTGTGCCAAAGACATCATACTGCATCCAACACACGAACAGAGCTTCGTAATTAGAACGGTGAAATCGAAAAAGAGCTTCTATAACTAGACATGGCCTGGGATTGAACCCAGGATCTTTGGCATGGAAGGCCAACGCTTTACCATTTAGGCCACTAATGCTATTTCACAGCTCTAGCAAAGCCTTACGAAACGTTGTTATCAAATCAAAATAGGAAGTCACCATCTCATTTGACGGTCAGACTATCAAAATATGATTCCAAATTAACGACTTAAGCAATGATCTAGATCTCAATGGTCGATTAATTCACCATTAACAGTTTTTAATCTTCTCGTCTTGGGAGGGATTAAATTACTATGATTGTAAATTGATCAAAGGTTAAATTCACCTACCTTTGTGTGCGGCATTATCTTTTTACTTCTCATCTTCTTTCTACATAGATCGTTATGATTTTGACTAGATTTTCGGATTTATAAAATAACTTTATTTTTCACGTAAGAATGAGCAGATGATTGCATGTATGAAAGGCATTAGAATGTTATAATTATGTTGTGAGTCATCGATTGAGGTGATTCTCAAATACAATTTCATGTTCTTTGAAGATTTGTGCTGATATCTTACTGGATCTTCAAAAGTAAACAAAATATTGAAAGGTTCCGACATTTTTCGCATCTCAAAAGGCTAGACATGACGCAACCAACTGAAACCTATAATTCGAGATGATTTAGTCATCTACCTGTCTCATTATAAGCTCCCAGTTCCATCATATTCACTGACCCCAATTATCATCTTCATTTTCACATCTTTCATCGGCTCGACAGCGTCAAGTCTAAAAGGGAATCGATCTAAATCCACTTGACAATAATTATAATGCACGAAACAGTACCGTGAAGATGAATGAAACAAAAGGAAGAAGAATAAGAACAAAGGGAGAAAAGAACTATAGACACAATTTTTATGCATTCAGGCCATGTTCCATCCTTTTTATGTGTTATGTACCTGCAAGCGAAATTTTGTAGCTTCTTGTTCACTTTCAGTTTCGAAATGAAATGCAGAGGAAGAAAGGCATGTCATGCACGGTTGCGTACTGAAAGAGAAAGAGGAAAGAAAAGAAGGAATTTGCATAAAGGAGAATCACTAACAATGTTTTATGAAAGGTACTTACTTGGCTATAATTCCATCATTATGCGGGACACCAAAATAGCGGTTCTGTGGAAGCTTAAGTTTCTGATAATTGATAAAAGGAATGAATTATGATTTTTGTGATTTATTGGCATAAAGTTATTGAAGATCATAAATGCTATTGAGTACTAATAAAGTTGAAGGAATTTATTGAGGCATGAGCAGATCAAGCGCAGTTGATTGAACTTCAATACAGGTTGAAATGCAATTTGCTATTGGTTGTTAGGTGGAGCTTAATGATACTTGTTAAAGTCAGGTTAATCTTCGAGCTATTAGCTGCTATATGAAGCTAGTGTTAGAATATGCGATGCCATGTAATAGCCAGTCAACGATAAATCATCTGGTGCAAGGGAAGAGTAAAAAGAGTGTAACTCATATATGGGATTTAGCCATATCGTCATCTAACCCCGATAGCTCAGTGGTAGAAGCATGCGACCGGAAATCGGAGGACGTGGGTTCGAGTCCCGTTATTCGAAGCTATACATTTTTCTGTGGTTTTGTCATCTAGAAGTTTGCTTCTTCCTTCTAGATGTTTCAATAGCTAGATCAGCTGCATGAACCTTGCAGAATTCAAGTGAAAACAATTCATGTTGAAGTGAAGCAAATATTAATGCTTATTTAAAGGACAACTGTCAAACAGACAAAACCAGACCTTTAAATTCATAATCATCTCTAAATGTAGCATTAAGCATGCAATAAATTGAAGAAATATTAATATTCAATTGGGATATGCCATAAATTAGCTATAATATTTACCACATTGCAATATCATGTTACATGATCAGTCTCAAAGTACTCGACGTCCAATTTGATTAGTTTAATTTCAACACGGTTATTACCGTCTCAACAACCAGCAACAACAACAACAGTGGATTATTGTATGCGACCTTTTGAACCTTTTTGCATTGAGCATCTTAGCATCATTTCAAGTTTTCTTCTTCTTTTTCTCATCTTCTCATTTTTTTTTGTCATGAGTGAACAATAAAAATAGTTTTATGGCACATTCCAGTCAGTACCACATATCAACTGACGATTATATTCATTAATTTATTCATTCAACTATATTAAAATTTTTATTTTAGTGATCTTAAAAGTGAGCTTCAATGGCACAACAAAAGCACCAAAAAAAATCTCCGTCACATTCAACAATTCTCTTCAAGATGATGTTGGATCATGATGATGATTGAAGAATTTATATTTGATATTTTTTTTTGGAGGAATAAAAAATAAGTTTTTGAGGAGGAGGCGATCTCAAATGATGGGGGTCAGTTATATAAATGACTATGAGCTTTAAGAAACATCTCAAGTCGATTGTTTTGTCAAGAGAGTATGTAAAGTGATAGATGGAAGTTGAGAATGAAGGAGGATGGATATTGAGTGATGGATGAAGCGCATTACTTTATTTATGGATAAACTAGATTCAAACCTAAGTCTGAGTATGAAACTTAAGCTAAGAAATGTCGATTTATTGTGAAATTTTCTTATTCTTAAGTTGCAACTTCTTAAAGTTTATTTAGCTCGATACACATGCAAATACAGTCTTGTGCTGTAAACAGCTTCGTCTACGCATTTTATAAAGCGAATGCAAGCTAGAATCGGCAATTGGCAGACGGGAGTCAGCGATAGAACTAGTTATAGGGAACGACTAAAGGAGGTCATGGAACACAACTGATCTGTACGACCAGCGAAGTAAGTAAGAAAGCAGGCTTAACTTTAAAGCTATGAACCTTTAAACAAGCCTAATTTATGATGTACATGATGTCGGGAATCAGCGATATTTAGAAAAGCCAGCAAATAAGATTAGAGAACAAAACTGTGGACTCATTTGTGACAAGAAGCTGATCAGTTTTACAAAAATCATTAGATGCCACTATTAAGTTTGAGCTAGTTTTATCATTGTCAGATATAGGATTTAATATGGTTGATCCATTTTGCATTTTAGACATCATATTTGGATGATCTTTCAAGGGGTCGTTTCAAGTCGTTCGCTTATGACGTCCAAAATTAACGGTAATTTTTCAAAAAAGAACAATGGATTTCCAGGAATTTCTATTGTTCTTTTCTTGCTGACCCCCCCCCCCCCCCCCTGGACGTCATAATTAAATGGCTCCAAAGTAGTACATGTTTTAGTGGCTGATTTAGATAGCTTGTAGCTGCAAACTATATATATATATATATCATAGGCATTAATCTTAGTAAAAAGCCAAAATGATCAAACAGTCCAATCAAATCTTCAAAATAATGCTAAAAAATCTTCAAAATTTTGAACATTGTTAAACATTTTTCTCAATGACAGAATATTATTCACAATTTACACCTTAAAAATTATCTTCGCAGCTTTTATGGACGTAAAATAATCACATTGCTGTCTCTTTATTATTGTTGCCTTCATTTCAAGTGACTGATTAAACATGTTGGGCAGTTCCAGAAACACAAAATATAAATATTTTTCTATTATTGTTATTTGACATAGCGATCAATAGAGCTTCAAGAGCATCATGTCAAAATCGGATCTCTACTTGAGAATGAGAAATATACAGATGTGATTTCTTTCTTCTTCTATCTACCAAAAAAATAAACTTTCAACAGTTACTTCTGAGAAACTTATTTGTGTTCATACCTCATACTGAACATGTCTACACATCATCTCGATTGATGATGATTTCACCGAGAAATGAAATCAAATTCAATATTTATAACGATTATATGAAAATTTTCTAGAGACATGTGCTTGATTTATGTCCATACTTTCCAAATTATCCATCAATGTCGATTTTTGTAAAAGTTTTGTTAGCGCCGTATGAGGCTTCTTCACTAATATTAAATTGTTTTTTCGTGTCTTGTGTCGAATTTTATTTTAAATTTTTTTTTTATTTTATTAATTTCGGCATTACCAGGAATCATGTGATTTAGATTATTACAGAATTTGATTCGACCCCTTTTAACATTAATTTCTTCTCCTATTAACTTCTATAAAACCTTAAACCCTCCTTCCCTTCATGAAATTATTGATCTATAAAGTGCTGAAGCACACATCCTTCCTCTTTGAATTTGAACTTAACTTAATCCAAATCTCGTTGTCGTTGCTTAAATCGCTATGATGTCTGTAAGTTTTAAAGAATTTATTAATTTTATGGGTTCAAAACATAGAACAGAATTAAAAACAAGATTATGCAATCAAATAAGCAATAAGCACTTACTTTTTGATGAATAAAGCTGCCATTTCCAACATATAAGTTGCATTGTATCTATCAGCTAAGACAAAATATTCCAAAGCATTTTCAACAGACAAATTCTCGACCATAGAGTCGACACAAATCTTTTTCAGCTTATCCAATCCATACTTTTCAGCACCATAAAGTAATTTTGAAGCAAGCATTTGTAGTTTTGAATTTACTCGAATATATGTATGTCTGTGGAACAAAATGGCGATATCTACAGGCAAAGACCTCTTTATCCTCTATCCAACTGGATTCAAATCTAGTTTAAATTTTATTCACATTAATGACTTCTTTATCTTCACTATTTAATTTACTTACAATATTTTTGGCAAGCACTAACTTATTTAATATATCTATTTTATAATAATTATTTGTATGACCTTTTTCGCTGACCGTACTCAACTGACTCTTCGGGTTTTTGAAGTCCCTTAAATATGGCTAAGATTCCGCCAATTTTTCGGTCCAACGAATTGAAGTTGACTGTTGATTCTTCCTAATTCAAATCTCTAGTGACTGTTATCTGTGAAATTAAAATTCATTCGTTTTTTAAGCGACAGTAATAATGACTTTCTTTGTTTCAGATTCAATCAAATCAGTATCAAATATTGCTTTCATTACTGGTGAAGAAACAGCCAGTACAAAGCGATAAGCAGGAATTTTGGTTAATGTATTCAACATTAATGATTTCGATGGACAGACAATGACCGAAATATTGCGCTTTATTTACACCAGAAAAGTCCTTAACATTAAGGAGCTTGCTGAGAATATACTTTATGGTGCTGACTAGTATGAATTGGACAAGTTAAAGAAGCTCTGTGTTGTCTAAATGATTGAGAATATGACTGTTGATAATGCTCTGGATTATTACGTACTGGCTAATGAGTATGATATAAAAGTATTGCATGAACGTTCTGCTATGTTCCTCAAATCGTAAGTACAAGACTAAAAGCAATTAGCTGCTCATTCGCAGCCTTTTAATAATTTTTTTCTAGTAAATGTAAAAGTTATGTTTAAATATTTTCAGGCATTACAATGAAATGTCAAAAGACGTCAAAGTTTGGAACAAGCTGAAGAAGAAATTTCTCATCATGCTTTTCGACCGTTATTTTAAAAATCCTGGAGATGTTCAAATTTTTGAATCTACTTTGTGAACAGCATTTTTTTGGCAATCTATAAGCTATAGAATTCAAATTTTGAAAATACGTTATAAATCTCACATTTTGTGAAATTTCAAAAAAGTTTATTATTTCACATTTCAACACAGTCTAAAGTCCAGAAATCCATCATTAAGTTTATAAGCATGTAGTTTGCATTAAAATATGGATATCCAGCAAATCACTTTTCAAAGAATAATGCAAAAAAAGTTTAAAAGCATACAGCAAGAGTCAACATATTTCGTCGCGTAGCGGAAAAAGAAAATTAATAACAGTGTTGCATTCTGGTCATTTGTCTGGATCAGATAAATTCTGAGACAGAAATTTCTTCATAAAGATCGATTCTACATGAAGATAGAAAATCTAATCTACACAAAGATTATTTCTACATAAAGAATCTGTCTACATAAAGATTCGATGTAGATGTCTACAATTCTACATTCTTCTCTGATGTAGACCTGGAAAAAATGTAGAATTGTAGACATCTACATCGAATCTTTATGTAGACAGAATCTTTATGTAGAAATGATCTTTGTGTAGATTAGATTTTCTATCTTCATGTAGAATCGATCTTTATGAAGAAAGTTTCTTAGCTAGACAGAAACTATTGAAGAATCTACATTCTTCATCTAGTGTAGACATCTACATTTGCAACACTGATTAATAATCATCGCAGTCACAGTAATGGAGAGTATAAATGAACAAAGATAAAGTTGAGGTAAATCCTAGATAAAAAGAAGTTTTATGATTCTCTTTTTTATAGTGCCATCTATTAATTTCACACTTTAATAATCCCAAACGTTCAAAGATCGTGCTGTATGTGGTAATAAAAGTGCTTTATGCATGTCAAATAATCTTTTCTCCCCGATATATGTGCATTATGGTGTGAAAAACTATTAAATGTACACAACTTCGAACTCGCATGAGCTCATTTATTTGTTGGCATTCAATTGGCTTATCTTTATACTCATGTATGTATATGATATGAGCGACGAGTGAGAGAAGCAGCAAATTGAAAATGAAAATTATTAAGCGACAGAATTAATAGAATGCAATCTCAAGGTTTGGACACTCGAAAGTTGATGTATGTGCGTTTTTCTGGCAGTCAGTTACTCAAAGTTGCTTCTAGAATAGCGTTTGAATTGTTAGATTAGTAAAGATGTAATCAAGCACTTACCTCATACATTCCTGCTTATACTTGACATTTGAATTCAAGATTGGATGCATCTAATATAGATTTGATTAGTATTTAGTTGCCCCAATTATTATAATTCATGTATCAAATGACTAGAAAGCACTTAAATCATGCTTTGACAAATCAGTAGACAATAACTGCAGGCGTACTCAATAATGTCGTCTTTACCTTGCAGTTAATCCATTCACGAATCACATCGATTAATGATTTTTATTATTATTATTTTCTAGACGATAAAATACATAATAATGAATCCGGTTAGAGATCTAAATGAATGATAACTAAAGATATTGCTGTTGTGCTAATATATAATCTCGTTTGAGCATCGTCACAGCAGAGAAATAATAATTATTAAGGTGACTTAAGAGTGGGGACCTTGAAATGTGATTAGAAACCTCGTTTTAATTATCTGGAAGATCCCTTGAATATTTTACAGCATAAAGCCCTATAAATAATATTAATTAGCTGTCTGATTTCATCTTATGTTCCCAGAATTCTCAATTTTAAGTCTGAAACTGATCTAAATGTTAAATGTTAATCAGATTATTGATCAGATAGCATTTTTATGGATTTCTAGCTAGAATGCTAACATAAAAGCCAGAATTTATGAGTCACTAGAGTTGTTGGAGAAAAATCTTGAACGTAGTAAACAGAAGAGAGGAAAAAATGAGCAATACAGATCAAATATTGTAGATTATCGATAGCAATTTAGAATTTAATGACTTTACAATGACTATTGAAATGCAACACAATACTCGTGCTATAATATCGATCTATAGAAGTGCCTGATTCTCTGAGGAAATATAAAAATTGTTTTATAAGAATTCAACAGCAATGATGACGTGATGCAAAGCCAAAGGTGCTCATAAATTTAATTTTAAATTCAACTCTAAATGTACTTGACATGAAACTTCATCAGTTCATTGTCATAAAAGAGCATTCTAAAACTATAAAACTATTGGGATGTCTACAAGTGATGTCTTTTGTTCATTGGTGGGAGTCTGTTGTTGTGTTACTCTAGATTGATTTTAGATCAAGCTCGATTTTTGATTTAGAGACCTAAATATTTGTGTAGGATCATCAACGTCATTGATAAACGACCCAAAACGTATGCGACAAAAAAAAAATAAAGTGATCAACCATCGACGATAATAAAAAATTATTAATTCAAAGTGAGAATCTATCTGACCGGAAAAGAGGGAATGTTTATCGCTGTTTATCGCAGGAAACGAAATTGGAATAGACTTTTTTTTTCAATAATAAATCTTTATTTCATTATGATTTTAATTCAACATGCGCTGGGTGATGTGCTGGAAGAAATATTATTAAAATTAGAAAAAAAAACGCCATTGAATCAATGAACTTCATGAAAATATAAAATATTTACCTCATTATAAATGACAAACAGGTTTCCATAATTGTCTTGAATGCGAATTACATTTTAAAATCAAAATCATATCATGTAAGCAATTATAGCTTAATTTATTGGAGGATTTTTTTGAAACGCTGACATTATGTCTACAATTGTTATGATTAAACTCTGGGATCTATTCGAGTTTGTAATTGTAGTTTAATTAAAACATACCAAACGGTTTTAATTTTATTATTATTATTATTAATTGTTTATTAGTAGGAAAAGCCATCTGAAAAGTATTTTAACATTTTCAGGTGGCATAAAAACCTTGATTATGTTTCCAGAAAAACATGAACAATTATATTAAGTTACAGTGATATAAATATCGTTTAAGAACTTAAAACTGTAGAAACATTTATTGTAATAAATCGTCTTTGTTCTTCAGAATTCGTAAACAGACTGAATATTTATATGAAAAGGGGTAAACAACTATGTTATAAATAAAAACAATTTAAATTACAAATGAACGTTATGAAAATTTGAGTTTTTTTTATTGTAGCTAGGTGTTGACTCAATAGTGCAAGGTGTAGGGGTCTGAAGCTGGGTTAAGATCGAGGGGATGAAGCTACATTGAGCGGATAAATAACGGTCACTTTTTGAATAGATATTTAAGTATATAAGAGTCGAATAAAACGATTGATTATATTAAAGTATATTTAAACTGTGTTTAGACTCTACACAAGGAACATTATGTTGAGTTGCTAATCATTCTTTTCATTTTCTATTGTATTTTTAAGGATTTTTGTAAACAGAATAGAGTTTCTAGTATATCGATCCATTTCTGAATAATTGAAAATAAATTTATAGAAAAATCATTTGTGAGAATTTTGATTCAATGAGGTTAAATTTCTAACTTAAAGCTAGTGATTTGGCAATCCACATATAACTCAACTTCAATCAACTCATCAAATTTCCATTGCGCCTTAACCAATAATTCAACAATATTCACATCAACTCAACACTTCATATTGTGTATGAAAGCAAATCTATTAGATCGTATTGAATAAATTCTTTATGGCACATACCCAAATGAGTATGAAAATGAAGAATCGTTTGAAGTTATTCGTGTCTTCCAAATAAATTCACTATAAATATGATATTTATTGTTGTAAAAATATATGGCAAGTCAATTGATGTGATTGACCAGACGAAATTTATATATATGTTATTTTTTTGAAAGGCAAACGAAAAGTTAAAAGAGATCAAATACCTTTATATTTTGAAATGTGTGAATACAATTGAGAATTATTATTTATCACTTTTTAAAGCATCAATATTGTACGCGTGCGGGTTGTTCAATTCGACTGAAAATAAAAATAATTCATCACGGTCATTAAATGTCGCAAAAGGAGAGAGACAGAGTAGAGGATTTATTCGAACGTGTCCAGTATGATT